CTTGCTAACCTGGGGTAACAGGTCCCATTTGCAGCTGCCGTCTTGCTCACCTGGGGTAATGGGCACTATTTACAGTTGACTTCTTGCTCCCCTGGGGTGACAGACACATTTACAATTAGAGGTGTTAGAGGTTTAATCATCTGAGTAGTGACCTAGAATGCCCTCGGGGACCCCATAAAAATGAAGCAGGTGTACTTTGCTGCACTTTGTAAAAGATGAAACATTCTGAGGCATTCACCAGTCTGCCTGCAGTTCTGAGACGTAACACAGAGGGCCCAAGTGTGCTTTGTCCTGGTTCCCCTTACAAGATCATGTAAGGCCATGACTGTATATCATGACCAGGTTATTAATCTGAGTAGCCAAGGTCCAGTTCACAGTTCACCGCTGGCGACAAGGATCCCCATCTGTCTTCTGAAACCGTGACCCATTTCCTCTTCCACTTCCGGACTTTAAATCTGGGCAGTCGCCTGTTCTCTAGGTGTATGAGCCTACCATTTTGATTGTGATTTAAAACATGAGAGAACATTCATCTTTACTCAGAATGGACCAGTGGAGATGCAAGTCCCACCTAAAGGTGCCGTCACAGGCACCTCCCCGACATGTCTGACTGAAAACCTGGATGCCCATGACCTAGGAAAGTTGTCATATCAAATTAATCATTATTATATGTTGTGTTTCCTTTTTCCACTCTGGAGAATTCCCTCGAGTTACCCCACTCGTGGGTGTCAGCAGTTTTCCCTGCACAGTGTGCCACGGTATAGCTATCCTGCAGCTGACGTGACATTGACGTCGATCTGAAAGTTCCCAGTATTTGGCAGCTAAGAATGAAGCGACTATGTACTTCACTTGAAAATACCCTTTGTGTGAACATGCATCTTTTTATTTTCTCCAGAAAAATGCTGTTGTAAATTATTCACTGGTTAAATATTTACATCTTTATTTTTTAAGACATTTTGGGATTGTTTCCCAGCAAAAATGAATGTGTGTCTTCATTTTCTCTTACAACTTCACTAAAATTTGATATTGACTTTAGCCTTTCTGAAAAATTCAGCCTTTCTGAAGTATGCATAGTGATATTTCATTTTGGTTTTAACTTTTAATTAAATTTTAATTTTTTAATTTTAATATTAGTTTGTAGGTACAGATGTTTTGCCTGCAGTATATTTCTGTGTACCCAGTGCATGACTGGCGACTTTTGAGGGAGGCCAGAGATGGTATTAGTCCTGTGGAACTGGAGTTACAGACAGTATTGAGCTACCATGTGGATTCTAGGAACTGAACCTGGGTCTTCTGAAAGAGAAGCCAGTGCTCTTGACCACTAGCCATTTCTTCAGCCCCTAATGAGAATTTTCCAAGGCCAGTGGTGCTGGATATCTTTCCCTTTACTTGACACCTGCATATTTTCTTTGGTCATCTTCTGTTTTTAAAAACACATTTATTTGTTTCCTTAGTGCGTGTTGCATACCCTTTTCCACTGAGCCACCTCCCTTGCCCCGTTCTTTTCATTTTCTAATTGGATCTTTGTTGTTGTTTGTTACATGTTTCTTTTGCGATCTGACAGCTTGTTAACACCTTTACATACCAGACTTCTACTGAATATATATTTGACAAATGTTTTCTTCTACTTTTTAGCTTTCATCATCTTAATGGGAGTTTT